CATCTGAATATATATACGGAACTATATATATATATAGTTTCGTCCGTTCTAATACCATATCCGTATCTTTGATATAATTGGTATTCGTATTAACCATTTGTTAATATTCAACAACTTGTACACTCTGGCGTCCAATACTGTGTACTAGTATGTAATCTTGAATTCCTCCATTTGCAAATATTACAATTCGTCTATTAAAGCGTGTCAATCGGATCAAAGGAAATGAGAATGTTCATGACACATAAGAAGGGATCCTGGAATGTCTGTTTTTGTTGACCAGTCATTAATAGTAATCGATTTTGAGTCCAAACAAAAACAATTTTGGCTGTCATGAAGCCAAAATATCTGACTTTCGCATAATTAAAGCACAACTAAAATGTCCAAATGCACAAAAAGCGCACAAATATAGTTATCCAATTACAATAACAAAGTTTGTCCGATCAAAATCTGTTTTCGAACAAAAGAACAAACGAAATAATATTTTTGTTACCTGTGACGACTGTATCAATGAAAATCATAACACTTAAATAGGAAGAATTTGATAACAAAAATTTTTCAGTTTTTCGTTGTCCTGGTTTTGTATCCATTTTTTCTTTCTCTTCTTCCTCCACAAACTTGAATTGTTTTCTTGTAAACTACAGCTACAGACCATGCTTATAATTAAAAGAAAGTAGTTGGTGGCCACACATTTTAAGCATAGTGGAACAGTACAAATACGAATGTTCCAAATATGTAAAATTTTCCGTACCTCTTGCTGGTGCCTGCTGTAGCGTCTATAATCCCATATTCCAGAGCCCTGTGTCCTTTACTTGTAACTCATGAAAATGTATGTAGATGCATATGCCGATTAGATGGGTCACTCCATCGTCAATTCATCCTCACAATAATGAAACAAATGACCGTAACAATTAATGACAATTTATTTATTTCTAGTGTAGCTCAGTACAATCAAACTTTGCAAATGAAGTACTAGTACACATATGATGAATGATTGACTGAAATATCAAATAAATAATAGAAAGAACAAATATCATCTCAACACTAACACATTATGATATTATTAATCGACAATGCAATGAGTGGTAGACTGACAGCGCCACCTAGTGGCGAAAATACTGACGCAAAGCAGCACAAATATAAGCAGGAAACCTGTCACTAACAATACAAATAATCACTTAGGCATGCGTAATCTGTGAAATATCATGAGCAAAAATTATGTGAAATCATCTCAGTAAAGTACTAAGTTAACAGGATTTAAAAGCACATGTGATTGCATCATCGGTAAATAAACATTGCATGCCCCAACTCAAATTAATGAATTATCATTCAAAACGCAATCAAATGATTTATACCGACCTCAGTATAGTCGTATTTCAGAAGTTCCGATGTTCATTGAACACAATTCGACATAAGGTGACAGGTCTTAGAAGGTCAATAATAATAATTCCACCAGCTCTCGCCAGTGCGTCGTGTGTTCGTTTTTTCTGCTGCCTCCACAACAAAGTAATAAATGCAACTCGAACTATAGGTGGCGCTAAACCGTTAGTTAACAAATAGCACATTTATGTGAAATAGGACTGTCCTCGAAATAGGACATCCGGGCATGTTAACCGCCTGGCAGCCATCACGGTAAAAACAAAGGCAGAAAACTCCCAGAAAGCAGTAGTTATGGATAGTTGATGAGACTCTACTGTACAATGTAACAAGATTACCCCTGCATGTGCATCATATATACATTCGGTCGCTCAGGATTCGAACATACCCCCAGCAGCGTTTATTGAAAAGTAATATCTGGCATGTATTCAATATAAACAGACGTTTCACAGTAGTATCTGTAACTGGCAGTGACGTGACAATTGATATTGTGATATATTCTATGGAAATACACGCATGGGTTTACAGGCATGTTTAGCTTAATTCCAAATTCATCCCTCACTAGGTCGAGTGGGGAGTCGACTACTCGTTTGTGTTTCCTAATTATAATTTGAGTTACATGTGGCTCGTTTAAATGTGGATTCACATATATGTTGACCTACACTATCTCATCTAGAAAGCTTTGTCAAGACAAACAGCTATAGACTGATTACAATGGCATCCACTCTATTTAAAAATCTGTGAGTTTGGTTTGAAATTGAAATCCAAATCCAGAAAATATCAGTCTTCATTTTTTTGGCAAATGATATATTATCTTCCATTTCTGTTTGGTAATGTATTTAAAGAAATACTCCAATGAAACCAAAATTGCCATTCACGTACAGTTTATGCAGCCTCAATTGTGCTGGTCTGACAGCGAGATGAAAACAGCCGATACGAACGCATTAAAATGGGTGACATAAGAACGACGAATGGACAACACAATTGGGATAGTTAGGCAACAAGAATGTGGTAATATGGTTTATCACATCTCATTGTTGTCATGTATGCTGTGAAGCGGAGGGGCGGCAAAATTACATACTGCTCTAATAATGTTCTACAAATGTAGAAGATTATGAAGTTTTTTTTTATCACAAGTCATACTCTAGATATTCAACGTTCAATCAGCATTTTTGGTAACCATCTTGATTCTACAGCAAAGGATTATGGGTATATTGTGATATCATAGCCGATATTTTAGAAATGATTCCATCTTGTTACTGTGCAACGACACATAATTAGTTGTCGTTGATCGCTGCGAACGTAGAATACATCTAGAATACATATTAAGTAAGATAACGCTTTTTTGAGGTTTAGGGTAATATTACATGAAGTAACTATGACGGTGTAGCCGCCACTGAAACGTGGCATCCGTGAAGCCTTGGGTCTACGCTGTGGGCGTTTCACGCGGGTCACGCCAATGCTCGCCAAGTCGCGAGAAAACTATTACAGTCACTTAAACTGTGTGGTGACATATTTATCTGACCCAATGTAGTTATCGTAATTTCAAGTCCGGCTAGATATGTCATTGAAATATAATCACTAAATTGTTCATGGAAAGTACATCTCTGAATGTGTAATTAAAAGATTTGGTTTCTTTGTACCTTTTGTTGTTCAACTACATTCTAAGACATAATTCAGCTACTGAGGAAGCACAATTTGCTTTATCGATACCTAGTTACGACGTATCTATATACATCTTTGAAACATACAAGTATCTATTGTAAATCTATAATGAAACATTTTTCAGTTAAAAAGTATGTTCAACATAATCTTTCTATATGCTACCGAAGAAGGGCCATTGCTAGAAACGCCTAGCTATTTTGAACAGTTACTTAGAACAACTCTTACAAAATATTGCTTAAATAATTATGATGTTATTATGAGAATACCGCATAGTTCCCACGAAGGCAGGGCGCCGTGTCTGAGGCAAACAAAGGAAAGTGACGCTCCATTTCGAGTGCGCCCGTATCATCTTCGAACACATCCATACGGCGTTTTGCGAACTGGTATATTCTATTGTTTTGAGTGTTAAATGTAAACTAACATTATGTTTTATTTCAGGTTGCTGACGTGTAGTATTCTCATTTACATTTTACTTTAAATATAGCATCCACGACAGGCTGTGACAACCCACCGATGTTAAAATTGAACACGCACGCCTATGTTTTCAGTGACACGGATACAGCAATTTCAATTTCTCTGTAAGTTTTATTCACCAAATGAATTGAAATTACTTCATTCATGTAATTTGTGTTTTCACATATTGCAATTACTATATCACAATATCAAGGATAAACGATGGTTAACTATGACATTAAGTATGGAGAATAGCAAATGATACACCCTTTCCAAAGCAATCGATAGCATAAATTTTACAATAATAAATCAACATACCAGGATATTCTAACAGCACGTAATTGGCGTGTGAAGACAGTTATCAATGACGTTAGTTAGTTATATTTGTTCATCTCGCATTTGCCGCAACATTTTGCTATTGATAACTATGTTACATGTTGGATACTCGCTGTAAGCAAATTAACATTAGTTTTTTTTTCGGGTGCAACTTAGCAGTAAGCAATATGCTTATTTTCGATAAAATAACAGTAATTCCGCTTTTCACATAGAGTATGTTTTTCGTCATAGATTATATATTAGTCAAGAATAGAAATACAGGGGTTCGCAATAAAAACAAGTACATGTAGTTCCCATCCATGAAAATCCTAGTTATTTCACAAACACGAATTAAAGTGAATGACATGTATAGAACATGTATACTGTACATTTAGTTTTTACATTTACATGGCGGTATGTTCTAATATCCACACGTTCAGTGTTCTTTCAAAATGGTAAATTCAAATTCAAATTCAATTTTGCTTTATTTAGTAAAAGGTTTTAATTCACAAATATTTAACAACAATCTTGTACACTGGGACCATCCTTTTACTGAACAGAAAACCAGCACTAAACTGTGCACTGCACTGGGGATACTAGAGCCTAAATAAAACGCAATACAACGACACACTTCCGGTAACAAGAAACATTTAATATAATCCATATGAATATGCGATACACAAGTCGTCACATTGCCTTGACGAAATTAATAAAGTAATAAACGTTTTTATGCACGGCCGATAAATCTAAATTATGTGCGAAATTCAAGTTTTATCGCTCGTCACGGAGGTAAATTTTAGAGATCACGGACCGACCGTTCGATTTAGATGTGTTGTTCGACCCTGGTCATATAATAATGCAATATATTGACATGAGATTACGTATGTGAAAAAGTTAGATTAGAAATGAAGCAAAAATACTAAACGTTGTAATAACGTTTTCGGGATATCACCCAATGGATACATATAGTAACACATATAGTATTCATAAAACTCTATGCTGTAATTAAAGAAATCAAAGTAGATTAGACAAATATGGTAATTTGATTAAGAGTCACCCATTTCAATAACATTAATTTAATAAAAGAGAAACCTTTATTCCCGTGGATCACCGTATAGGTATGGTCTATTCTACTGTTCCCAATACAGTGAACAAGGAATGCCTTTCTTTACAAAAACCTCCACTTCGCACAGGTGTAAATAGTTGTTATGATCTTTCAGTTGTACGGCAACATAACGCCCACTTAGCTGACAATTAAATGTGATCTTCTCTTCATATGTGTTTGCATTCCAGTCAATTTGATCCCCACATTGGTCATTTTTGCTTATATCAGAACTGTCACCAATTGACACCACAGCACCGTCAATTCTTTCAGCTGAAATAACGAATATGCATTTTTTAGAAGTATTGCGTGTATTGAGGGATATTGAATCATAGAAGGCACTGATGATGCATGAAATAAATCCAATAAACTATAATGTAATGAACAACTCAAAGTCTGCGTTATTTAGACATGATATCATGATCACCATTTTATAAAAAAGCAATCTCATTGATGAACACATTGCCCTAATTCAAGAATTATGGCATATAATATGTTTCATTTTATTATTCAAATTGTTAATTTCAAACAACATAAAAAGAATGAAATAATATGAGACAATATTACTGCGTTCCGTGTATTATTGTTTAACTGGTGTATACTTACAACAACAGTCCTGTCGATTTGTTAATACCACTTGAGATATAGAGTATGTTTCTCCCAAATCTAGTTTCCACCAAGCGCCCTGTTCCTTTGCAGTATGGCTGCAACTTTTATCACCATATATGGAATCATCATTCCCATCAATAGCATAGTTAGCTGGTCCATTATAAGCAGTGCTGCTTTGGCTTGCAGTTCCTTTTAGTGCAATATTTTCTATTTAAGTACAACATAGTATAGAATTGGTTAAATCTTATAAGAATGTCACATTTAACCAAACATACATCTTGTCATGTTTGTGCTATTCTTCATATTACATTTATTTTTCAATAGTTGATTTTTTACCACTTATCATTTGGATGATCGAAAATCTCAACTTTTCTCAATTCTTCAACACATACATCTATCATCTTTGATATTACTTACCCGGTAATGATTGCTTCTCACCAAACACCTCCACTTCACACAGGTGTAGATAGTTGTTATGATCTTTCAGTTGTACGGCAACATAACGCCCACTGAGCTGACAATCAAATCTGATCTTCTCTTCATATGTATTTGCGTTCCAGTCTATTTGATCTCCGCATTGATCATTTTGGCTTATATCAGAACTGCCACCAATTAACACCACAGCACCGTCAATTCTTTCAGCTGAAACATCGAATATGCATTTTTCAGAAATATTGCATGCATTGAGGGATATTGAATCAATAATTTCAATAAACTATAATGAAATGAACAACTCAAAGTCTGCGTTATTTAGACATGGTATCATGATCACCATTTTATATAAAAGCTACACATTGATGAACACATTGCCCTAATTCAAGAAATATGGCATATAATATGTTTCATTTTATTATTCAAATTGTTTATTTCAAACAACATAAAAAGAATGAAATAATATGAGATAATATTATTGCGTTCCGTGTATTATTGTTTAACTGGTGTATACTTACAACAACAGTCCTGTCGATTTGTTAATACCACTTGAGATATAGAGTATGTATCTCCCAAATCTAGTTTCCACCAAGCGCCCCCTTCCTTTGCAGTATGGCTGCAACTTTTATCACCATATATGGAACCATCATTTCCATCAATAGCATAGTTAGCTGGTCCATTATAAGCAGTGCTGCTTTGACTTGCAGTTCCTTTTAGTGCAATATTTTCTAGAAAATATATATATAAGCATTATATGTTCGATTATTTGTTACTCACTACTTTTTATGTAAATTAAGTAGAAAATAGATTTTTCGATATGAGCAAGTCTAATAACATTG